TCAAGGGAATACCAAGTCTACTTACTTCTCAGGTAGGCAGCAGAAGTAGCTTGACAGGCGAATACAACTGAATATGAAAAATATTTCTGTAGCACTACAAGTGCTAAAATACCACGAAGTAGTGGCTTACACATAAATGGTTCCCTAGTCTATTAGATGTAAGGGACGGTGTGGCTATGCCGTACTACTCTGGAGAAATGACAGAAGAATGTTATTACGTTAGCAAATAACAAACCAGGGTTAATTTTCTTATATCTGACTACGCCTCGATGGATACTGGTTTACAATCGACCCAAAAAAGCGGAAGTTTTGCGCTCATGCTGGTAGAGATTACCACAAAGCTCAAATGAAGTTCGGTGATTGCTTAAATAGTATTTCATGGACAACAAGAAGCAAGGGGATGGCACGTCTACGCCTGACAATCTGGAGAAGTGACGGAGAATGTGTGCATAGAATTGAAAAACTTACAGTCGAATTACGTTCAACATTGCCTATGCTGAAAACCTCTTTTCCTATCTTTATGTAGGACTATTAAAAAATATCAAGATTAAACCTCTTAATGGATTTCGCTTCCAGGTCTACGATTCAAGGGACAATAATTAAAAAACGAAATAAAATCCTTTATTTTTCGATGAGCTTCGATGAAGCATGCCAAAGTCATCTCCAAGGTAATGTCCACATATGAAACGTTACAGCAGTAGAAAAAAAACAGATATAACATTGAAACGAGAGCATCCCACGTTCCATTAACTCTTTTGAGCATCCTGGCCGATGACATTCGAGCTGTCACCGACTCACAATTGAACTAGACCGTATATTCGTTATTCGGTCAATAAATCTGCGTAATGATTTTTCACTTAAGAATCGCAATATTTACTTTCTCCTCATCAACAGAAGTGACATTTATGGGAAGAATGAAGTGTTCCAAGTACAGAGGGTAGGAAGCAAAACAGAATGTTCTGTTCACCTATTTATAAAAGCCGTTAGATGTTTCGCAAACGTATTCCCTTGTATTCGATCATCTGATTTATTTGCTGAAGAACATCTCATCAAAGTCGTTGCAATTGATCTTATAAGACAAGTTAATCTGCTTCGTTCTCTCCGACTGATGAAATGCCTATTCTGCTGTAGATTCGGAAACCTTCATTCTCCGGGTACCACTAGGTTTTGTGAGAAAGTTAATGAATAAATGGAATTATCCATGAAACCACCTTGCATCAATTTGCCAGGTCTTCGAATTAGGCCATACGAATTACTTTATCATACTGGATTATACGATATGAAACCTTTCAAGCTAAGAGGCGTTCGCACTGGTGGCAGCTGTATGTATTTTCATCGAACCACAAATCGAACATGGTTTCACCATCATGTGCGTTGTTTGAATAAACGTTATAATGCTGCATACGGTTTCATTGGAAATAATTGCTTTGGTCTGCCTAAAAGGCACCCATCACGGGTCTCAACAAGTAGGAAGGTCATTACTTAGAATATCACCGATATAACGAGTTGTTCTAGCCGTTTCTAGCTACGAACTCTATATGATTTTAAACTTTAAGATACAACTGTGAGGCATCACGTAGAAAAGTCGGTTGCTACTATTCTGCCTTCGACAGTAGAATCGTCAGTAAAAATTCAACATGTGGATTTTGTGATGCCTCTAGGTTGAGACATCCGCATCAATAACTCAGACAGTGGCACGTTTCGCCCGAAAGAACAGAAGGCAAAACATAAAAGAGCGACTGGTAACAATTCGACAGTTGTACGAACAAACTACCAACGACGCCACAAGAGCCACACGGCAAACTGAACCTCAATGAGTGTCGTCACTGGCCTCAACAACGGTGCGTGTTATATGGCCGAAACTTGAAAATCAGATGAGGCCCACTCGCTTCGAAAAACATGCCACGAAACAGACCTGAGTTCTGGACAATAAACAAAGAAAATTATTAATAAAAAAAAATAAGTACGTGAAACGACGATGACGCCAAGCGTGATCAGAAGTGCCAACCGTAGGAGACCACTCATGTCGACAAACTGACCGTTGAACACTGGGGCATCACGAGCTCGGTTGATAGAACAAACTCCTATAACTGGATTCTTAGAGCACAGAAGAAAAAAATCATCGCTCGTTCAACGTCTGCTTCAGCCCTGCGACGACGCCAGCCGGAATGACCAAAAATGTGCCATTTACCAAAATCTCAACAACGCATGCAGAGA